TGGAGCGGCTGGTAGTTTCGAACCGCTGACCTTATAAGGTTCGCAGCCCGATTCGTAACCACTATGCTACCAGAGCTCCTTTAGGGGAACAAAAAGCCTCATCTTTCTCCTATGGGTAGCAGCCCAGCTCATAATCCACTACGGTACCAGGGTTCCTTTGACCATTTACACTGGTGGTGATGTGCTGTGGAGTCAGGTCCAACTCACAGGGACCTTGCATAGAGTTTCCAAAGCTGTAAATCTTTACCAGAGCAGAAAGCCTCATCTTTTTCCTACGGAACTGGTACTTTTGAACTTCTGAGTTTGAGGTTAGTAGCCCAGATCACAGTCCACTACACTGACAGGGTTCCTTTGACTATTTACACTAAGACGTGAATAATTATTTTAAGTACATAAATATTAGAATATGGCTTTTCAGCCCTCTTATACTCACAAGTGGCTGATAAGCATATGGTGAAACATATTCTTGAGAGTATGTTGTCAAGAGACACCTAAAACGGAAAAGTCATATTTGAGAAAAGAATGACTCCAAGAAACAAGCTACTTTCCATTTTTAGCAGTATATACTTTACATGAAATAAAACTTGGGACAAAATGACCCTTTTAGATTTAAAAACAAGCCAAATGTTTAACCCCATAGCCGTCCTCACTCATTCACTCACTCACTCACAGCCATCAAGCCGATTCCAACTCATAGCAACCCTGTATAGGAAGTCTGAGACCATAAATCTTTATAGGACCAGAAAGCCCCATCTTTCTCCTGCGGAGTGACAGGTGGGTTTGAGTTGTTGACCTTGTGGTTAGCAGATCAACCTTGTGGTTGACCTGTGCTTATCCTACAGCACCAGCACAGCTCCTATAGCAGTCCACTGGTTGTTAGGTACCAATGAGTAGGTTCCAACACATAGCAACCCTATGAAAAACAGAAGGAAACACTGCCAGATCCTGCACCACACTCACAATTGTTACGTTTGAGCCCATTATTGTTGTCACTGTGTCAAACCATGTTTTTGAGGAAGTCTTCCTCTTTTCATTGGCCTTCTACTTTTATCATGCATTATGTCCTCCTCCAGTGATTGATCCCTACTGATAACATGGACAAAGTTGTTACTGTTAGGTGCCATCAAGTTGGTACCGATTCATAGTGAAACTATGCACAATAGAACAAAACACTGCCAGGTCCTGGGCCTACCTCACCATCGTCGCTACACCTGAGCCCATCGCTGCCACCACTGTGCCAATCCATCTCATTGGGGATCTTCCTCTTTTTCTCCAACTCTCCCCTTTACCAACCATGATATCCTTCTCCAGTAACTGGTTCCTCCTGATAAGTTATCCAAAGTATGACGAAGTCTCACCATCCTCGCTTCTAAGAAGCAATCTGGCTGTACTTATTCTGACACAGATTGGTTTGTTCTTCTAGCAGTCCATGACACTGTCAATATTCTCTCCAACACTATAACTCAAATGCATCAATTCTTCCATGGTCTTCCTTATTCATTGTCCAACTTTCACATGCATATGAGGCAACTGAAAATACCATGCCTTGGGTCAGGCATACCTTAATCCTTAAACTGACTTCTTCGCTCTTCAACACTTTAAAGAGGTCTTGTGCAGCAGAATTGCCTAATGCATCATGTTGTTTGATTTCTTGGTTGCTGCTTTCGCAAAAGTTAATTGCGGATCAAAGTAAAATGAAGTCTTGGATAACTTCAGTCCTTTCTCCATTTATCTTGATGTTATTATTGGTCCAGTTATGAGGATTTTTGTTTACTTTACATTTAGGCGCAACCCATACCAGAGGCTGTGGCCTTTGACCTTCATCAATAAGAATAGCAGTACTAGACCTTGTTTATAGTGTTATCTACCACCAGAAAGGGGCACCTTCTTCAATTACTTTCAATTCAGTACCACCTGTAGGCTTTAGAGTACTAACACTACTTGTATCTACCATGTCCCGATTCCCTGGGCTCAAATGTTCTATATTTCCGACTTTTTTTTTAATGTTTTATTGTGAATTATGTGATAGTTTACATGGGAGAACATTAGCTTTACATTCGTCCTATCGTGTATCATTTTATTGCCATGGTAACAATCTCCTCCATATATCATCAACCAACCAAAGGGTATACCTGTAAGCCTGCCTCCCAGTCATCACACACAGCCCCTCTCCCTCTCTGGGTCTAAAATCCCCAGCTGCTCCATCTCTCCACATCATTGTCTCTGCCTCCTATACAGTATTTCTCCTTTTTTGACTAATTTCACTCAACATAATGTCCTCAAGTTTCATCCATGTTATGCGGTGGCTTGCAGCTTCCTTGTTCTTCTTCAAGGTAGCATAATATTCCATTATGTATATGTACCACAGTTTGTTTATCCATTCTTCAGTTGATGGGCACTTTGGCTGTCTCCATCTTTTCGCTATTGTAAATAGTGCTGCTATGAGCATTGTTGTGCATATATCTACTTGTGTTATGGCTCATATTTCTTGTGGGTAAATACCAAGTAGAGGAATTTCTAGAACATAAGGTATTTCCATTTTCAACCTTCTGAGGAAGCATCATATTGCTTTCCAGAGAGGTTGGACCATTTTGCAATCCCACTAGCAATGCAGGAGCATCCCAGTCTCTCAGCATCTTCGCCAGCATTTACTGTCCTCGATTTTTTATCTTTGCTGTTATTGCTGGTGTGAGATGATATCGCATTGTTGTTATTTGCATCTCTCTATTGGTTATTCCTGGTGAGTCCTGGTGTGGCGCTGTGGGTTAATGCACCAGACTACAAAGCCATTTGAACTGCAAGGTCAGCAGTTCAAGCTCACCAGCTGTTCCTCGGAAACCCTATACAGGGTCGTTATGGGTCAGAACCAACTCTATGGCACTTCACAACAACAACACCAATGGCTAGTGATCATGAATATTTCTTCATATGTTTGTTGGCTGACTGGATTGCCTCTTTGGTGAAGTGTCTGTTCATGTCCTGTGCCCATTTTTTAATTGGGTATATTTCTGACTTTTATGGTTCTCTTTACCACTCATTTTTTACCTCTCAAACCTATTTTGAGCCTATACCAGTTTGTCAGCTAAAAGACACCTGAAAAGATTCACAGAGGACAGCAAAGTGGACTAAAGTAACATAGCTTCCTCCCACCGCTGAGTACTCTATCAAACACACAAAACTGCTCAGTGAGATGTTGTGGGGGTGGTGGTTTTGTACAGTGGAGTCATAGTTACCTGAATATGGAACTATACAGTAAATCCATACAGGAACAGAAAACCTCATCTTCCTCCTGTGGAGCAACTGGTAGATTTGAACTTTTGACCTTGTGGTTTGCAGTTCAACTCATAATCCTCTGTTACCAGGGCTCCCCAAAAGTCTACAAGCATAGCCAAACTCAAAAAAGTAAAGTCTAAGTGCTAAAGCAGAGTCCTGGTGTGGTGCTGTAGGATAAAGCACTGGGCTGGAAGGTCAGTTTGAATTACAAGGTCGGTGATTCAAAATCACCAGTTGCTTCTTGGAAACCCTGTACAGGGTCACTATGAGTAGGAACAGACTCAACAGCACTTAACAACAACAAAGTGCTAGGGGAAAAAAATAAGGAATTTATGATCCTAGGGCTATGTGATAACATAGTATCTGTGGACAACACCCTCCAAAAAGAACTGCTGCTGCTGTTGTTAAGTGTCATCGAGTCGGTTCCGACCCACAGTGATCCTGTATAGGGTTTCTGAGAAGTGGCTGGTGATTCTGAGCCCCGATCTAGTGGTTTAAACCAACTTCATAGTCCAGTAATTATCCTACAGCACTTTGTTGTTGTTGTTGTCAGGTGCCATCGAGTCGGAAACGACTCATAGCAACCCCATGCACAGCAGAACAAAACAATGTTCGATCCTGGGCCAACCTCACTACCGCTGCCACACTTG